CTGCCCCCGGGGGCCTCCTGCACCTGCTGCCTGTCCCGTGTCACGGCGTCTCCTAGGAAACCTTGTTGTGGGGAATTCACTGGCCGTCCAGTGGTTGGGACATTGTGCCGTCACGGTGAGGGCCCAGGTTTGATCCCTGGTCGGGGAACAAGACGCCACAAGCCACACAGCGCGGCCGGAAAAACAAACACAGGAACTTATTGTGGCCACTGTACACGCCCGGTGGCTTCACAGCCCTTGTTCCTCAAGACGCTCATCTCATCTTATTATAAAAATGTGTCTTATTTACAGGTTACACTCTCCTAAAACTGTCTCCTGAAGCAGACCATAAGCTTCCTCCGATCCCAGAGCCTGCAAAGCGCCTGACACTTGAAGTCGGTATTCAAGGAGTGGGGAGGCCAGACACACAGCAGGCGTGTGAGGACAAGCGGCCTCAGACCCGCCTTCGTGCTCTAGAACCACACCCTCCCCACAGGGTAATCACCGTAATCACCCCGCCCGGAGCAGGGAGACTTTGGACCTGCCGTCTCCCTAGACCTGTTTTCTTCTTCAAAGGACAGGGATGTGACTTCCTGCGGGGCACATGGGGCCCCCGAGGGTGGGGGTCATCGCAGCACTGGCCAGCAACCCCAGCACCCCTGAGCCCGAGGTTTTCTCCCTGAGCCCTTCTGTGCACTAGGTGACACAGCCCGGCCAGGATCACCCACCTAAGGGGCGAGCCTCCAGGACCCGAGCGCCCACCCCTGCAGCCACGGGGAGGCCCACATAGGGTGATCATGTGTCCTGGTGTTCCTGGGACAGTCTGGTGCCAGCTGTGGTCCCTGCCTGGACCTCACCCAAAGGGATAAGAAAAGGGCAGGAGGGGTGGAAGGGACATGATGATGAAACCGTCCTGAGACCCAGGCCTCCCGCACTCGCTGCCGGCCTGCGTGGGAGACGCGGGCACCTGGCGGGGTCACTGGAAACCTCAAGACCTCCCCACGTGGGTCATTTCTATGCCCCCCCCCCAGGTCCTTAATTGTGTACCCGTGACTCTTCACGTGGCCCTGCTTGCTTTCCGGGAAGGGTAGGAGCCGTGTAGGAGTGGATGGCCTTGTGAGGACCCTCTGAGTACATTAATCCCGCTGTGCCCGTGGTGGCTCCAGACCAGGAGCCCAGGTGGCGCACAGCGGGCGGACGGTGCGCCATTTAAAACTAATTATCGGGCTTCCCTCGTGGCGCAGTGGTTGAGAGTCCACCTGCCAATGCAGGGGACACGGGTTCGTGTCCCGGTCTGGGAGGATCCCACATGCCACGGAGCGGCTGGGCCCGTGAGCCATGGCTACTGAGCCTGCGTGTCCGGAGCCTGTGCTCCGCAACGGGAGAGGCCACAACAGTGAGAGGCCCGCACACCGCAAAAACAAAACAAAACCAAACAAACAAACTGGGCTTAGTACTTTACTGGAAACGGTGTGAGCAGCACTGCTGCAATTCGGACCGTCCATCCGACTTCCCCGTGGCGAGGCCGCAGGGCCTGGAGTCCGGCCCACCCTGACCCCCAGTGACCACCAGGTTTGGATGTTGTTACCATGGTCCTTTCATTACCCTCAGGTCTTCACAGTGATAGATGACGTTGTCTGGACTTTCCATTAGTCTTGGGGGGACCGGCACCCCCAGAACTTAAGAGTTCTGACGGCACGTCTTACTTCAAACAGCAGCAGCTCTTACAATCAGGCGACAAGAACAGGGAGTCCCTGCAGGAAGAGGGGCGTCCGATGGGTGCTGAGTGGACACTGGGCTGGGGGTGGCCAGCCTCCCCAGAGGAGCCAGGGCCCCTGGGTGGGTAGTTCCCACACAGGGCCTGAAGCTTTAGTGCTGCAGGGCAGGTTCCTCAAGCAGCCTGACGGTGGGCAGCGGGACACCAGGAGCTGGCAGCACCCCAGCCCGGGCATGCCCTCGCCCTGAGGGGCCGTGCCCAATTTGGTTCCCTTCCTCTGGGTGTGACCTGCCTGTGTGGACACCCACAGGCTTTGGGGGAAGGGCATCTGGCCGGTGAGGGTGCCTGGGATGCTCAGGGCACCGGGCATCTGGAGGTGGATGGAGGGGCACCGAGGACGCAGGGGTCCGGCTGCCTCTTGCTCCCAGGTGGGGGGCTTGGGCAGACGCTGCAAGGCGGGGGCCAGCAGCCCACAAACCGCCCTCTGGCTGCGGACCCTCCTGGCCACCTTGGACACGGGTGCTTTCTCCCTGGATCGTTACTTCCACTTTCCTGGAGGGCGGCCCCCTCTTATCTAACGATCGCCCTCGCTTCATGTGGCCCCAAATGCCCTCGGTCGGGGGTACTGCTAGCACACTCAAGTCCAAGTGCCCGTATCCGTGCTCTGTGTTTCCTGTGGGGGCCGGGACCAGGGAGCTGTGAGGACACAGTGGGAGACGGAGGCTGGAAAGCGCCTGAGAAGGGCAGGAGTTAGGAAACGAGGCCGAGGGGGAGCAGGAAGTGCCCGCCAGGCCCGCCAGGCCAGGGGAGCTGCTGGGCTGGGCCAGCGGTGCTGCGCGCTGGGCCACTTTGGGGCACAAGAGGAGTGAAGGCAGCCGTACCGGATATGCTCTTGGAGACAGGGAGTAGGAAATGTGGTTTGGGCCCCAAAGAAAGGCCGGAACGGGTGGGGAATTCAGGGAGTCACTTGCCGAAACTGGGAGCAGCCCTGTCCAGGGTGGCAGAGGCAGCTGCCAGGGAAAGGGGCGAGGCAGAGACAGGAGGGCGGGGCGCCGGGGGCGAGGCAGGGCTGGTGCTTGATGATTTGTAAGACCGGCACCGGTGGGCGCCGCCTGGGCCGAGGAGCCCCCCCCGCGCTGGTGGGAGGGTAAGTCACCCTGCCTGCGGACTGGAGTCTGCAGAAGGAGGCACCCTGTTGGCGGGAGGGCCAAGGAGGTGGGTCTTGAAAGGGATACTGTGAACTGAGCCGAGGGCTTGGAAAGTCTCCCCAGAACCAGCAAATGGGGGGCATTTGGGGTCATGTTCAGTGGAGCACTAATTTCCTACAGACTTCCATGGAAATGGACAGACAGATGTCCCCAGCTTAGGGACAGGTATGTTCCTCAAACTACTTTCCAGGCTCCTTGCTTAGCCCTCAGATGGAATGTTCCAGAAAAACCAGTGTTAAGGGCCAGGCTGGTTCACAGCGGATGCTGGCAATCCCGTTTCCACCACGCCCAGCCACGGCTTATGCGCACTTGTCACGAGAAAGTACATCTAGATCCCCAGTAAGACACTGTCTCCAAAGTTGCCAGGCCCTGGTGGAGTAGGCCCTGCACAGCCAGGTGGCCACGTGACGTCTACAGAGATGGTGTCTTTTCTGATTTGCCTGATCTGCCTACGGTCTGAACCCACTTCTTAAAAAGGACCCTTGGCACGTGGAGGGCTGAGGCTAAAAAAGTGCCGTAAATCTTAAATTTAAAGAATCTTAAATCCCCTTTTACCTCACCACATTTCCAAGGCAAAATTCAAAATGACAGTTTGGGCAAATCCTCGATGGCCTCCCAAATACGAAAAGCGGTTTAGACATGGTTTTCACGCCACGATATTGAAATGTGGGGACAGTGCAGTGGTGAACAGGGACCGAGAAAGATGCTGTCCTAAACCAGGGCTGTCCTGCAGTATCAAGGGGAACAGTGGACACTCAACATGGTAACCACGGTGCTCACATCTGCTGGTGTTTCCCTCAAAGTAAAAGGCACACAAGGCTGGGATCGCATTTCTGTTCAATCGCGGGCGGCGCACAGAGGTGACTCATGCTGCCAAGATGTGCGCAGAAGTGGGAAGAGGCAGTGGGAGGAGGGAGCCCCTTTGGGGAGCAGAGCAGACGTGTGGGCTGTTAACCCCAGGTCACCCCAGATGGCAATCCTTCAGGGCCCAGCCCACCCTCCATCAACTGGGCTGGAGGAGCCCCAGCCAGCCAGCTCTTTGGACGTTGTGGTTCCGGCAGGGCTTGGCCCAGGGACAGGGTTGGAGGCAGGTGTCTGTGGAGGGGCTGGACCTCCTCCCCCAGTCTGGTTTGGGGAGGCGGGGAGGGACAGGGCAGATTTCCCTGGGGGTGGGGCTGCAGGGATGAAGACCCACTTACTTGGGGCTTCTCTGGTGGCGCAGTGGTTAAGAATCCACCTGCCAATGCAGGGGACGCGGGTTCGATCCCCGGCCCGGGAAGATCCCACATGCCGCAGAGCAGCTAAGCCCGTGCGCCACAACTGCTGAGCCTGTGCTCTAGAGCCCACAAGCCACAACTACTGAGCCCGCGAACCACAACTACTGAAGCCCATGCGCCTATAGCCCATGCTCCGCAACAAGAGAAGCCACTGCAATGAGAAGCCCACGCACCAAAAGGAAGAGTAGCGCCCGCTCACAGCAACTAGAGAAAGCCCGCGCGCAGCAACAAAGACCCAACACAGCCAAAAAAATAAATTAAAAAAAAATCCACTTGTTTATGTGTTGCTCTCAGGTCTTAAGTGTAGGTTGAAAAAGACCAAGTAAAAAATAAGACGATCTTTTTCTGCAAAAAGAACATTAAAATAGCAGTCATAGGTCAGAACGCCGGCCTTTGGACCTGCGGGGCACTGAGGTTTGGAGTGCTGTCAGAAGAATCCAAACTGGATTGATCTCCTCCAACCTTTGCTCCAGGCCCGAAAGGCCAGGGGGTGGGGGATGAGGGGTGGTACCCGCCGCACCTGTCCGGCCAGCTTTGCCAGGTTGAGTCCCCAGTCCCGCCCCAGGTCCCGCAAATCCCACCCACCCCGGTCTCCCCATCCCGCCCCCGGTCCACCATCCCCCATCCCGTGCCTCCTCCCTCCCAGGCTCCGGGCTCCAGCTGCTCCTGGCGCAGGAGCAGGTGCAGCCCCTCCCGCCCCCTCATCCCTTCGGGCCCCGCCCCGTCCCTCCCGCGCCAGCCGCGCCCCCGCCCTCCCCCTCCCCGACATTCCCATTCCTCCCCCCCGCCCTCCTTCCTCGCCCCTCCCCCGCCGCCAGCCCCGCCTCCCGGCGCCCGCGGCCCGGCGGAAAGACCGGAGGCGCTCCGAGTCCCGGGAGGTGGACTTGGCACCCCCGGCCCCGCGGCCCGGGCGCCCCCTCCCGCCCCTTTCGGCATGGAGTCCGCGGGGCGCGCGCAGGCGGCGCGGGACCGCGTCCCCAGGTAGGCGCACGAGGCCTGGGCGACCCTGGCCCAGCCCGGGGGAGCGGGCGCGGGTGCCGGTGGCGTGGAGCCGGCGGGGGCGGTGGTGCCCGGCGCCTGCGCGCCCCTGGGCGGCCCCTGCGCTGCGCACGCGCCCGCGCTCGGCCCGCCGCCCCTTTCTGCACCCGGGAGGGGGGGGGCGGGAACACGCGCCCCCCACGGGGGGCCCGGGCGCCGCAGGTCCCACGTTCCACGTGCGCGCGGAACTTTACTCTGGGTCTTTTTGTGTCGTAGGATCGATCCGTACGGGTTTGAAAGGCCTGAGGACTTTGATTATGCAGCTTATGAAGAATTTTTTTCCACCTATCTGGCGATACTCACCAGAAGGGCCATAAAATGGTCCAGACTTCTAAAGGGAGGCGCTGGTGTCCAGAAGAGTATGACACGTAAGTTTGGAGCCTGATCCTCCAGGCGCGCAACAAGTGACCCGACCGACGGGTGACGGGCGCGCCAGGGAGGTCAGGGCTTGGGGTTCCTTCGGGTCTCGGATCTCGGGGGGAAGGCTGCCGCGAGCCCGCGCAGGCTCGCAGGTGAGGGCGCTGCACGGTCAAGGTGCAGGCCCTCTTTTCTTCCCTCCGGCATGAGGCCTGCTTGTCCTTTGAGATGGATGGAGACCATGGCCTTCTTTCCAGAAGAAGGTGGATTTCCTGCTCCTTCAAATGAGAGTGGCCAGGGCTGTGCCCTTGCGCGGTTCTGGGCAGAGCTCTCCCTGACCCCCGCAGAGTGAAAGCGGGGTCCTTCCTGCACCCCCCCCCACCTCTTCCCCTGCTCTCCTTGGGGCTCTTCCCCAGCCCCAGGCTGTGCCCTCGCCTCCTTCAGGTTTGGATTGGAATGCCACCTCCAGGAGGCTTTCCCGTCTCACCCCACAGACCCACACTTCCTGTCCTTTCTTTGCCTATTTTCTGTTCCTCCCTGTCTTATGCGGTGTGGGTCCTACTTATTTTATCCTTTGTTTCCCCTGCTGGGATCAAAGATCCCTCCCTGCCGGCTGGATTGGATGGATGATTGCTTCAGTGTTTGTTGAATGAATGAATGGAGTGTTTGCCTGCAGTGTTCCTCACGCTGTGGATAGAGGATAGACCGTGGGTACCTGCGGGCAGGTGGTGAGGGGTGGACGGGAATGTGCCCCGGGGAGCTAAGGAAACTCAAGTATGTGGGGCAGAGGGGCTGCTGGGCCTTCCTGACATGGGACATTAATGACAATTAAGGGGTGAGGGTGGGGGTCCCAGTCACCAGGTACTGAGTTGTGACCAGAGTATTAGGGGTGTGGTGAGGAGGGCCCGGCGGTGGAACAGGGGCCCTGCACCAGGTCACGGGTGGGCACACGTTGCACCACCAGGCAGAGAGAAGTCAGTGTTTAAGCAAGGGGGTGACAGGTCAATTTTTGCCTTTAACGGGGCCCCCAGAGGGGCCCCAGTACGCAGGAGATGCTTGGGGAATACTTGTGGGATTAACACGGGGGGGTGGGGTGGAGGCAGGTGGACCTGGACCTCGGCCTCACCCTGGGCTTCACCCTCAACCAGGCCCTCCCTCCTCAAGCCTGTTACTGGTGGGCAGTGTTTAGTAAAAACATGGGTAAACTAGCGTTTCATATAATCAGCCTGAAGGGACCTCAAAGGTTGACCCTTCTTGTTTCCCAGACCCCGAAGCTAATATCCTGCATGATTGTACGCCGAGGTCCATCCCTGCGTTGCTGCTGGTGTTAACGTGTTTCCAGCAGACCTCGGCTTCATTTTTTCCCTTTTGATTTGTTTTTAAACGTTACACCACACAAATATATAAAAATAAACTTAATTTCTGCACATGGGAAAACATCGTAATCACACTAAAAGATGTGAATTGAATTGAGTTTCTCTGCTGCCCAGGCCCCAGTCTCCCGTAGAGGTGACTGCTGGCGACTGTCCCACGTCCCCCCAGGAACAGGGCGCACTCTCGGGCTGTCATTTGCTTTTTAATGCAGGAGAAGACTTCCTGTCCAACCTAGACCCAGGGGTCCAGCTGACCCACAGGTCAGTTAACGCAGAGAATCATGGCAAGATGTACATGTGCGCATAAGCCTTTGTTTTTATATGAAACACACGTGCATGTTTATTCCTCTTTGATTTTGTCATTTGATTCCAGCCTGTCATCTCTTCTTTGAACAGGGAGGGTCCACCAATTCTGTATCTTTCCTGCCGGAGCGTTGTATCTATTTTCCAGTGTCGGGGTCTTTTTTTCCAGGTGGATCGGGAGTAAAAGCACTCTGAGTGCAGAATCCTTCCAGATCTCTAGTCTTTTCCTGGACTTTTGAGGTTGTCTGATTTAAAGGTTTTGTTTTGCTTTTGCTTTTGCCTTTTGGAGCACTTATCAACTTTTTCTGAAAATTTAACTTGCTTTTATTGAAGTAACAATTATTTCTTTTGATGCTTTAATTTTTTTTTTGTTTGCGGTACGCGGGCCTCTCACTGTTGTGGCCTCTCCCGTTGCGGAGCACAGGCTCCGGACGCGCAGGCTCAGTGGCCATGGCTCACGGGCCTAGCCGCTCCGTGGCATGTGGGATCTTCCCGGACCGGGGCACGAACCCGCGTCCCCTGCATCGGCAGGCAGACTCTCAACCACTGCGCCACCAGGGAAGCCCTTTTGCTTTAATTTTTAAAAAATATATGCAACATTCGTTAAACTGTCTGATCATGGCAGCGAGTATACTTGGCGTACAGGTTTAGGAGCAAATATACTTGATCCCTGGTGAGCCTTTGGTCTGGGGACGGGGTTCACCGTCGAGCTGAACTGGAGAGCATAGTGACCTGAAGTTCTTTCAGGAAATCCAGCAAGAGGCATGTGGGCTCGCAGGGTTCTGTGGGCCAGGGCGTTGCCACTGGAGCTGGTGTGGCTTCCGGGTGTGATGGCTGGGGAGGCTGCAGCACCCACAGGGCTCCAAGGGAGGGGCAGTCGGCGTAGACAGCAGTGGACGTGTGATCCAGGAAATGGACATCCAGTTTTTTCCTGCCAGACGTTCCGGGCTGGCCGTAGTGTCGTCGGGGGTGTGGCATCCCAGGGAGGGGAGGCCGTGTGAGGGCTGTGGGACCCAGCTTGCGCGGTCAGAGCCAGGCAGCCGCGTTTGGAGCCCTGCCCCTGACACCAGCAAGCACTCCCGAAGACCACCTTTGCTCTCGTGCCTTCACCGTTTCTGGCTTTTTGGGTCCTACTGTGTTCGTTCTCTTTTTTTGAGAGGACTTCGGTCTTGTCTCCAGTCACACGATTACCCACAAATCCTGGCATCCAGCAAGTCTTCAGATGACAGCTGAAACTCACCCTGCTTGAGGACGCTAGCTATGGATACGATGAAGCTTTTCTTTTTCTTTTTCTTTGTCTGTGGCGAGTATCCACCAGGAGCCTGAGATCGCTTGCTCTCAGTGCTCGACCTGGAAGCTACCTTTACGTTCCTTTCCGCCTTGGTGTAAAGGCACTTGGTGAGGGAAAAACTCCGTCCCGTTTGCTTCTTCTATGTCTCCTGCCCGGTGGGCTAGGGTATTAGCACCATCTAAATGAGAATGAAGTTGCAAAACATATTTTAAAGACAAATATAAAAAACCTGGGAATCTGCTTAACTTTTTTGGGGCAGACAGCTGGGAGTTAATTCTTTGCGGTTTTTACTATATATTTTACACTCCTCCAAATGTCCAGGAGGACGCATGGGTTAGCCCTGCCCTTGGGGAAGCGTCAGTCTCTGAGGATGGGAAAACCGTTTTCTTTCTCTTCCAAAGAAACTTCGTAAATTCAGATAACAAACAACGAAAATAACAAGTCTTTATTCTGTGAAACTCCTGGGTGTTGTTACTGCTCTTAAGGCAGCCGAGAGCCCCGAGTCCTGACTGTATTTCAGGCACTGGGCTGTGCTTTGTTCCCATTTCACAGGTTAAGAAACTGAGGCCTACTCAAGGTTGGGGCTGGTGAGGCACAGTGTGAGGGGTTTAACCAGTGTGCACTTTCCTTTTTATACTTTATATTAATTTTTAAAAATTTGCAGTGACATTCGCTCTTCTTGGCGCACTGGTCTGTTGAGTGTAGACAAATGCACAGTTAGGTAATCCCCGCCACAGGTAAGGTTCAGAACAGTCGGTCGCCTTCAGGAGCCCCTCCTGCGTGATCCTGGGCAGCGGACCTGCAGGCCTGGGCGTCGGCAGAGGCCTGGGTGGGTGTGGCGGCAGCTGCAGGGCAGCGGGAGGGATCCTGAAGGTTATCGGCGTCTCTCTCCGTTTATGTAGTTCTTTGATTTCTCTTTGCAGACGTTTTGTTAGATTTATACCTGAATATTTCTCCTTTCATTTTTGCTGCTATCGCAAGTGATACCGTCTCAGTGTTTTTATTTCAGCGGTTTGCTGTTCATACGTCCTTTCCTTTTGCTCCGTCTCAGTGGGAATGGCCCCTTCCCAAGTTAGGCCTGACCTGTCCGTCCCCTTGCTGTTGCGTGAAGAGGATTAATTCACTCTGGGTGCGGCTGGTCATGCTGACCCCTGAGGGCTCCTGTAAATCGTACTAAGTTGGAGGGTAGACTTCAAAACGTCACGTCCCCATAACAGAATGACCAGACCAAGCCACGCTGGCCAAGACGTTCTGGCCCAGACGCGATCCTACAACATGCTTCTAAACTGGCAAAGGGTTTCTCGAGTTTTCTTTGCCTTTGGCGGATGGTGTTAAAATCTGTCCTTTCCTTCCTCTGGGCATCCCTCGTCATCCCGCATCTTTCTGCACACGTTTGCCGTGCGTTTCCTGTCCCACACGCCCTCCCAGGAGCAGGCAGGTGCTCGAGGCATGGCCTCCGGGAAGCCTCTTTTCAGGTGCTCCCGTACAGGTGACCGTCAGTTTGAGTTACAAGGTTTTAGCGATACTGCTTTTCTTGACCATAGCCTATAATCTTTTTCCGTTAAATACGGCTGGTGCCTCAGCGTCTGGCACAGGCCGAGGAGCGGGCAGGGTGGGGATTGGAGGTGACCCTCACAGCCCGTATTCTTGTGCTGACAGCGAGCTAGAGGTACCAGGGCTGCTGTAGCCTCCGGACTGTGCTTAGCTTGGGGACGGAGAACGGAATTCTTTAACAAGCGCATGTATCTATTTGGTGGAGGTGCGTGAAGTTTTGCACCTTTTTTTTTTTTTTGTGGTACGCGGGCCTCTCACTGTTGTGGCCTCTCCCGTTGCGGAGCACAGGCTCCCGACGCGCAGGCTCAGCGGCCATGGCTTACGGGCCCAGCCGCTTCGCGGCATGTGGAATCCTCCCGGACCGGGGCACGAACCCGCGTCCCCTGCATCGGCAGGCAGACTCTCAACTCTCAACTGCGCCACCAGGGAAGCCTTGCACCTTTTTTTATGTCTGGTTGAATGATTTCGGCGAGAGCCAGAAGCAAACTCTGTGGTTTCTGGCCTCGGGAAGCGCCCAGCGGTCTGGGTAAAGCTGCCCCTTCCCTCCGTTTCAGTGAAGCGCTACATCCGGAAGGGCGTCCCGCTGGAGCACCGGGCCCGCGTCTGGATGGGGGTGAGCGGAGCCCAGGCCCAGATGGACCAGAACCCCGGCTACTACCTCCATCTCCTCCAGGGAGAGAAGGATGACAGCCTGGAGGAGGCCATCAGGACAGGTGACGCACGGGGTCCGTCCCCCGGGATATGGGGGCTGGGCGCCACCCCCAGAAGGAAACTGTGTTAGCGCCCGATGATGCTGTTATGTTGATGAGGAAAGTTACGTGGTTAGAGATGCACCAGCCGATTCCAGTTTTCTGAAAGGAAAATCAAAACTCAGGCGTTCGCGAGGGGAGGAGAGTGATTTGAACTGGCTCAGGAAATATTTGTGTGTCTAGCTAGGTGGTAAGGAAAATGGTACCGGAAAGACCACGTTTCTGAGAAGAATCCCTCGAGGGACGCGAGGCCGCTGAGCTAGCAGTCAGTACAGGAGGGACGTGGGCTGGGTGACCCCCGCGGACTCGCAGACACAGCTGCGCGCGTGCAGGAAGCCACACACCAGAGACCTCTCTTTATGTCATACTCTGAGTGTCCAGGCTCTTCAGAGTTCAAAGTACTCAAAGAAATGTTTAACCTGGATTGAATAATTAGATTTTTAGAAAATACATCTGCCTTTCTGACTGTAACAGCTTTTGAGAACTACAGATTTAAACACAAATACTTCATTTAAAAAATGTGATTACTTTAAATGTCAGAGAGGTCGGACTGACTTGTAACGTTGAGAAAGTGGTGTGTCCCCAGCGTGAGGAGTAGGGGTCTCAGATCCCAGAGCTGGAGACGGGGTGGGGGGCACTGGGGCGCTGAGCCTGCTGGCTGCACCCTGATGCCACAGCAAACCCCGGCCAAAGGGCTCAGAACAGACGCTGCCATGACCCTGCGGGCACACGTGCGGGGGTCCCTCCGCAGGGCCAGACGTGCTGATTCAGGGTGGGAAGAGACCTCAGGTCCAAGCGAAGGCCGATCGTGTTAAATAAAGTAGAATGTGGCTGTTTGTTTGAAAAATGAATTTTAAAGGATCTATTTAGTGCAGAGTTTTTGGATACATAAAATTGACCTTTCTGTCTTTCCAAACTGAACCTCTGTCCCCATTAAACACTAACTCCTCATCCCCTCCCCCGCCTCCCACCATCCACCCTCTGTCTCTACGAATTTGACGCCTCTAGGGACTTCATATGGCTGGAATGACACAGTATTTGTCCTTTTGTGTCCGGCTCATTTCACTGAGCGTAACGGCCTCGAGGTTTGGCCTCAGGGTTCACCCACGTTGAGCGTGTGTCGGGATTCCCTTCCTTTCTGAGGCTGAACAGCATTCTGTTATGTGTAGAGACCGCGTTATGTTTATCCAGCATCTGTCAACGGACACTTGGGCTGCTTCCACCCTCGGGCCACTGTGAGTTATGCTGCATGAACGGGGGTGTGCAAGTAATTCTTTGAGACCCTGCTTTCAGTGTTTTGGGTACATGCACAGAAGTGGAATTGCTGGGTCCCGTGACGATTCTAGGTCTATTTTTGAAGGGTCTGGATCAGTCATTTTATAGGGACAGTAGAGCGGGTGCTTCGTGCCACATAAGTGCAGACCAAACGTCCCGCTGTGTCTGCCTCTAGCATGGCAGTGGGGTAGGTGTAGAGAGATTTCAAAACACGGAGAAACGTCTCATCATAGAAGACATTATGTAGCGACGAGCACTGATCTCTCTAGTCTGAATTAATGAAAAGCACACATTTCCCTGCGGCGGATGCCAGTTTTTGGAAGGTTCAGAATTCCAGGAAAAAACTCTTCTTTGTAACAAACATACAATGAAAACTTACGTGCTTTGAGGCAGGCAGCGTGCTGTTCGGCTCAGAGCTGGTTTTCGTGGGCAGAGACCAGGCCTGGGCCAGAGCCCGGGGGCAGAATTCCTGCAGCAGTGGGGAGGCCTCCAGCCGTCAGCTGTGTCGGAGAGTCCCGCTGTCGCGTGGACACGCTGCTCTGATCCAGGCAGGGCCAGCGGTTGTTAGCTGACCCCCGCCCTCCTAGCTCTGCCCGCGTCCTGTCCTCGCTTCACAGGATAGCAGCTCCTTAAGGCAGGCGTCCGGCCCGGGCGGGGAGGGGCCAAGCAGCAGCAAGAGTCTGCCGGGCTGTCCTGCAGACAGAAGCCGGCGGCGATGAGTTTATCTCGGGCTCACTTTTTCCTTTTGTCTGTTTCTCTCTAAACGGGAATCTCGGGGTGTCCCGCCTCCTTATGTGTTCAGTCTTCAGAACTGGGAAAATTCTCCGAAGTTTTATGTAACCTGTTCACCTGTCACCCCACCTCATCCCCAGCTAAGCGGGGGGCGCGAGGGTGGCAGGAGCCGCCAGGGCCCGAGCAGCCCGGCCTTATCCAAAGATCCCGCTCTGTCGTCCTTGCTGACTCCAGAGGAAGGGCTGCTGTGCCCACCTGTGTCCCCGGGCCGGGCTGCCACGGGACAGGGGCCCCGGGGGGCCGCCTCTGTGCCCCCGAGGCCGGCTGATGGTGGAGGTCAGGAAAGGTCCGGGTCCGTCGCAGAGCCGTCTCTGTCCCCAGCCCTGAGCGGCCTGCGCCGCGGATTTCCTCACAGACATGAACAGGACCTTCCCTGACAACGTGCGATTCCGGAAGGGCTCGGACCCCTGCTTGCAGAGGACCCTGTACAACGTGCTGCTGGCCTACGGGCACCACAACCGTGGTGTGGGCTACTGCCAGGTGAGCCCCCGGCGCCTGCAGCCCCGGCAGGGACGTCAGCCTGGTCCTGGGCTGCCAGGTCCTCCCCGACACAGGCTGGGACTTCACCGTTTCCCAGCGGTGCCAGCCCACGGCGACGGGGCGGGGGGAAGGGGAAGCAGCTGAAGTGAACACGGGCTGTGGTGACCAGCATCTTCTCGTCTTGGTGCAGATGGTGGGCACGTGTGTGTGTGTCTGAGCGTGCACGCGTGCGGTGGGCCAGCCCTTCGAGGCTGTTCCCGGAAGCCGGATCAGCCGGCAGTAGGAGGTGACAGGGGTCGTGCTTCCTGCTGCGTGGAGCTGCCCGTCAGGTGGCAGGAATCAGTTCTTGTTCCTCCCTGGAGACTCTCCTTCTGGAGCATCGAAGGGACAGTGTTCACGGCCTGGAAAGCGAGGGGAGCTGGGTCGGGAGGTGAAGGGACCGTGCCCTCCCGCTGGTCACTCCGGAGGCTGCCGGGTCCTGGCGGGTGTGGGCAGGGGCCAGGGGCTGCGGTTGGGGGCTCCTGTCTCTGCGTGTGAGGCCTCTGTGCCCCCCGAGCCGGAGGCCAGGCCAAAGCGTCCCCGAGAGGAAGGCAGGCCCTGGGCGGTAGCACCTACGGTCCCCGGTGGCTCCAGGGCTGGGACCACGAGCGCCGGGCCGGGGGCAGGGGACACGGACGCCTACTCGGGGTGGCCCCGGCAGCTTGTGTCCCGTGTGGACGGCACGTGGTGTGGCCTCGGCTCCGGGGGGACGGGGGGTCGCGGGAAGGAATGAGGTGGGAGTTTTGAAAAGACCAGCAGCAAAGACACATGAGGACGTCGTTCAGAGCGGCCGGTGTGATCCCCAGGTTGTTTTCAGGCCGCTGTTCCGCAGCGGGTACCTGCAGAAAAGACACAGCTGGGCGGATCTGTTCTTCCGAGGTAATCCCTGTCGCTGTCACTTGTTACGACTGCCCTTAACGTCCTGTCCTGGGGCAGGAGCTGGCCTTCAGGAGTCGGGGAGACAGGGTGGCTGAGAAACTGTCCTTAGATTATTCTAGCTGCTGTTCTTGTGGGTCTTAAAAATAGGGTTAAAAAATAACCCACACAATTTTAAACATGAGCCTGATGCCAAAGCTCTGCTGGCTTTTGGGAAATACACGCATGTATGTACACACACACACACACACACACACACACGTATGAGCTTCCTGCGGGTGCCGTGACATTGTGCCGCTGGCTGAGAGGCGCACAGGACAGGAGTCGATTGTCTCTCAGCCCCGCAGGCAGGAGTCCGAGGTCCGGGGGTCGGGGAGCTGGCCTCTCCCTGGCTGTCTCGCTGGTGACCCGTAGCCTCTGTGGGGGGTGTGTCTGGGTCCAAATTTAACTTGTTGGTTGACGAGAGCTGGATTTTCCCCTTATTGCTAGAGAAATACGTGTTTATTTTAGAAGTTGTAGAGAAGCAGCAAAGAAGAAAGTGGAAGTCACCCGAAACCCAGTCTCACAGGAGGGGCGCTGACTCGGCGCTCGGCCACCGCTGCTACTTTCCGGGTCCGCCCGCCCCTGGCAGCTGAGGGTCCTGAACTGTGTGTATATGGCAGCATTTGCCCCCTTGGCGCTGTGCGCCCTGAATTTCCCCAAATGGGCTCTATCACGAGATTCCACTTAACGTCCCTGAGCGTCAGACCACGCGCCTTACCGCTCTTAGGAAGTGTGGTCGCTGGTGTAGTTTCCCCCCCGATCGTTTCATGAACACGAGGCCCTGGCCTGCTCTGTGTCAGGAGTCGTGGGCCCAGCTACACGTGTCACTAGACGGCAGAGCCTCAGACGCCGTAGCTCCACTGAAAGGTCGTTCCAGAATCAGGCAAGCTTTAGGGAAGAGCCAGGGAAACGGAAAGTTAGCCGTTAGCCAGGCGATTACAGAGTCTGCGGGTGGTCCAGACCTCAGTGAGTTCCTTTGGTTCTTTTGTCTAATTTCAGGGAATGAACTTTCTAGCGGGGTATCTGATTCTGGTGACAAGGAGTGAAGAGGAGTCCTTTTGGCTGTTGGACGCCCTTGTTGGCAGAATACTCCCGGGTACGTTGAGTCCTCGCGGTAAGAGCGGAACTGTCGCTTTCTGGTGTTGCCGAAACGATGTCACTGACAAGTCAAGACGTGACAAAACGGAAGGAACTGTCTGAGAGTCGAGGTCGAAAACCTTCTTGCAGTTGAGTTGAGACAGGAGCGCACGAGATGCGGGTCCCAGCAGGCGGCGATGCGTCTCAGGGCCCGGACGTGGCCGAGCGGGCTCTGAGCTCCTCGTCCGGGTCTGCGCGGCTGGCGTCTGGACCGTGGGGACTGTCGCGGCCGTAGTGAGCAGACCGGCGAGCGGCCGGGCTTCTGTAGCCTTCGTTGCTGGGCTCGTGAACGGCCATGGGCACAGCGACCATCAGCTGTTGTGGCTACTGCTTTCGAGGTGAAGATGATTCCTCTCGTGCATTTCTACTTTTCCGTTTATTACTGAATGTTAATTGTTTTAGTGAGTCAACCACCACCGATTTCTGTGATGCGCCACGTAGACGGTGAGCTGCAGAGTAGGGTCCCTTTGGGACAAGAAGTGGCCAGAGCCGTCTGGGGTGGGAGAGGACTTGGGCAGATGTGACCCCCCACAGCCACGATGGCGGTGATTGGCCCAGCCGCTGGCAAAGTCCTGGTGACTGTGGACGGGCTCCGGCTGCCCACGCAACGAGCCCTGGTGGTCTTGTCTGCTGTGCCCGCCTCCCGTTTCCTTCCCCCTCCTCCCCCACCCGCCTTCCTGGGTTGGGCCGGGCTCAGCCCAGGACCACCCGGGAGAGCAGCCGCCTGTCCTGGGGGCTGTGTGTTCAGATGCGAGGGCAGCCGGGGCCCGTCCAGGCTCCAGGCTCGCCTGCACCCACTCTCGTCTGGTCCATGGAGCAGCCACACCACACATGCCAACCACTGAGTCCCCTTCACGGATGGCAGCACGGAGGCCTGGGCTCAGATCCACAGCTCTGTGCCCCCAGGAGGTGAGCCTGGGCGGTGCCATGAAGAGGGGCCCTCTCCTCGGGCTTGTGCCGCTGTTAGCAAGGGCTGGGGGGATGCCGCCCACAGGGACGGAGGACGGAGAGGGGCAGCTGCCCCGGCTTCATGGCGGAGCCTGAACAGCTGTCAGGGGAGACGATGGACAGGCTTCCAGACAAAACGCCAACACGGCTCCGTGGTCACCGTTTGCTCAGTTAGGTCAGAGGCTGTGTTACGATGAATGTTCCCACCGTGACCAATCCCAGGTGCTCTTTGGGGGTTTGGGGAAGCCTGGTGGCGACACAGCAGCGGGACCGAGATCAACAGAAGCCGTAAGGGCCGACCTAGAGAAACAGAAAAGCAACAGGTGGCCCCCCGGGGGTGGTGCGTTGCACAGACTTATTTTAAGGCCATAAAATGTCATTTCTGATAATTATTAGGTTCAGTCAGACTAAACTACAGTGCAGATAGGCCCATCCTTCTGCAAGGACAGGGCGTCGTGGCCGGGCTTAGATCACAGGATGGCCCAGACCGAAAATGGCTTCTTTTACGTCAAGATAGTTATGTCTGGGTCTCTTCCTCTGGGGAACCCCTACCCTATCTGCCCTCAGACTGCCGAGCCTGCAGAGAAGGGACGGGGGGTGGGATGGGCCGGGCCAGCTCGGGATGTCACATTGGTGATGAGTCAGCCCGTTTATGAACGAACACGCTTGCGTCCTGAGAGCTGGTCTGACCCGTTTCCCCTTGAGACACAGGGGAGCCGGGCGACGATTGCCCCTCCCTGGAGCAGCCCTGCTGAAGCCAGAAGGCGTGGCCCAGACAAGGGCGGGCAGGGCTCATTGTGGGGGCGATAGTACCCGGGACCCCCGGCCCACCTGCCCCTGCAGCAGCGCTCCCCTCTCCACGTGCTGACACAGCCGTTGGGCTGTTTGCAAAGTGAGGCGACCCCGGGAGTGGCCTGACTCGGGGAGAGGGTCCTTGGCATCTGTGCACAGGCCGCAGGCTGAGGGGGGCTGCAGGCGGGGCCTGGCCCGTGGGGTTCGCCATCAGCGGCTCACAGCAGACGGGGGCACGGGGGCGTCAGCGACCCTTCTGTGACTGGCTCAGGCCTGTGGCGGGTGTGGGGTGTGACCTTGACATTTTGGGAGCTGCCCTAAGCCTGTCTGTAACCAAGAACGAGGCCGTGCTGTGCTCTCGGCTCCGCAAATCCGCTGTCTCTGCCGCGCTCTCCTGACACGGCTCAGCACCCTGCAGGACGGGAAGCGGAGCCTGCCCCTTGCCCCCGGGACCAGAGGCAGAGCGCTGCTAGTTGAGAGGACAGGACAGCCAGCGGCCCTAGGGTTTAGGACCAGAAGTGAGAGGAGGGTATGGGAGGGAAGGAAGCTTCAGTCCCAGGTATTTATAACCGAACAGGCTTCTAGTAACTGATTTCTGGGGTCTTTAGTACTGAGCATGGTTTGGTGTGTGCACGCGCTCTGAAAACCAGTGGTGTGACTGTGATGTCGTGTCGATACTCATAATGATTCTATTTTAACCCAAATACTTAATTAACAAGAACGTCTTTCCCTTTGCTGTGGTGAATGACCAAACTGTGTGTGGCAGTGGGCACAGAACGCGTACCAAGTTTTCCTATTTTATTATTTTTTAAAATTTTTATTTTATTTATTTATTTATTTTTGGCTGTGTTGGGTCTTCGTTGCTGCGTGCGGGCTTTTCTCTAGTTGCGGCGAGCAGGGGCTACTTTTCATTGCGGTGCGCAGGCTTCTCATTGCCGTGGCTTCTCTTGTTGTGAAGCACGGGCTCTGGGCACGTGGGCTTCAGTAGTGTGGCCTGCGGGCTCAGTAGTTGTGGCTCGCGGGCTCTAGAGCACAGGCTCAGTAGTTGTGGCCTGTGGGCTCAGTAGTTGTGGCTCACGGGCTCTAGAGCACAGGCTCAGTACTTGTGGCACGTGGGCTCAGTAGTTGTGGCTCGTGGGCTCTAGAGCGCAGGCTCAGTAGTTGTGGCGTGTGGGCTCAGTAGTTGTGGCTCACGGGCTGTAGAGTGCAGGCTCAATAGTTGTGACACATGGGCTTAGTTGCTCCGCAGCATATGGGATCTTCCCGGGCAGGGCTCGAACCCGTGTCCCCTGTCTTGGCAGGTGGATTCTTAACCCCTGCGCCACCAGGAAAGACCCCCTGTTTTATTATTTTATTTTATTCCTGTTTTTACAGCAAAGTTTAAGCTGTCATGTATTATAATACATGACATTAAGCTAGAAAATTCCTTGGCAAGAAAGTGTCCATTCAAAAGACAGTCACGCAGTTGGAAGCATTGGTCTGTCTGATGCTCTCCTGTAACGTTCACCTGCATCTTCTCCATGAGAGGAAAATAGGACACGTGACACAAGAGGGGTGGTGTTCGGTGCTGGGGGGGTGCCCGGACGCTCACACATTCGGTTTTCCCTTCCACCCATCGGCGGACACTTGGTTGCACCCACCGTTGGCTGCCTGATCTTGGGTTGCAAACGTCCCTGCTTTCCATCAGGTTGTGACGGATGCCCAGTGGGGCACTGCTGTCCGGAGTGCTGGGACCCGGGGCCCCACTCTGGGCATTGCTCCCAGGAGTTCCTGCATCCCTGTGGCTGGGATCTTGCCCTGGGTCACCCTCTGGAAAGGGTCGCTGGGTGTGGCCCCCCTCACGGCTCAGGGGGAACGAGGGTCACGGGTGTCAGGGGCTATGGTTTGTGGGGTCCACGTCCCCGCTTCTCCCCTGTCCCCGTGCAGATTACTACAGCCCCTCGATGCTGGGCCTGAAGACGGACCAGGAGGTCCTCGGGGAGCTGGTAAGGACCAAGCTGCCGGCGGTGGCGGCCCTGATGGACAGTCACGGCCTGCTGTGGACCCTGGTCGTGTCGCGCTGGTTCATCTGCCTGTTTGTGGACGTCCTGCCCGTGGAGGTGAGGGCGCCTGGCTCGGACTGGGGCCGACTAGGCGGCTACGCGCTGACCCGCTGTCTCTTCCTCTGCAGACCGTGCTTCGCATCTGGGATTGTCTGTTCAACGAGGGCTCCAAGATCATCTTCCGGGTGGCGCTGACCCTCATCAAGCAACATCAGGCCTTGATCTTGGAAGCCACCAGCATCCCCGACATCTGTGAGAAGTTCAAGGAGATCACCAGAGGGAGCTTCGTGACCGAATGCCACACTTTCATGCAGGTAGGTGTCAGCGCCCTGCCGCCTCCCTGCGCGGGCTGCCCGGCCCTCCACCCTAAGCAGCCCAGGGAGGGGCTCCAGCCCTTCCAGGCCAGCTTCTCCTGGAGCCCAGGGTGCCCAGCAGACCCAGGGTGCTCACCCTTGCTCCCCTCCTGCGCCGTCAGCCCAGGGGTGGGGCCGGGTGCCACCTGGGGCCCCCCAGCGAGCCCCGTCACATCCACACCTTGGTTTCTCCCGGGCCTGGGAGGTGACCGCCCCCATCCCAGGCTTTCCCGATGACCCGGTCTACACCGGGCCCCCCATTTCTGTTCAGCCTTACGCCTGTTGACTTCTCTCCGGCCTTGGTGGGGTCACGCCTGTCTGTCCCTCCCCGCTGGGTCCCAGGCCTGGCGCAGGCCGTGTGGACAGCTCAGATCACCTGAGTGAACGAAGTGGATGCTGCGTCCCACAGGCCCAGGGGGGCGGGGTTTACAGGGACACTGGGACACTGGGATGAGGGCGCGAAGCCCAGGCCTGGAGTGACCCTGGGAGGGGGGAGCGCTGACCCAGACGCCCGGCCCGTTGTGTTCTTCAGCTTCCCGTTTGAAACAGCTGCACTGATGGCGTGCCACCTCCCCCGCCCCCCGGGGTACGAGGCCCTGGCGAGGAGGTCCTGCAGCCTAGGGCTGTTTAGGTGTTTGGCTTCAGTGAGTGAAGGCCCCGGTACAATTCACCCTTTACCTGGAGATTTCAGAGCTCTTCAGTGCCTTCCACTCAGCGGGTGGTGCAGCTGCGTCACTGGGCCCAGACGTTTTCTTCTCCCCAAAGGGCGCCCCAGCCCCAGCTAATGCCCTGCTCTGTCCCCGTGGCTCGGCCTCCTGGACTTTGGCACAAATAGAGTCAGACAGTGCAACTTTGGCGTCTGGCCCTTGGACTCGGGCTGATGCTTCCGAGGTGGTGCGAGTCTGTCTGTGTGGAGCAGGGCCCCCGCACACAGTAGGTGCTCAGTTAGTGCGGGCGCCTGGCCTGCTTGTGTGATGGCTGCAGGCGGACGTGTGTCCACGGCGGGTGTGGCCGGTGTTCCAGCCCAAAGGTGTTCTGGGCCCTGTGAGCTGAGTGGACGCAGAGGATTGGCGGGGTGGTCTCCCCACACAGCAGAAAAGCCACTGCGTAAAGACATGTGTCTGCCCATGACAGGTGTGGCCATCATGGGACGCTGGCGGGGAGGTGGCCCTGGTCTTATTTTCTCAGGGGTCGCTACAAAGTTGTATATGCATTTCAGCAAAACTGCAGTTCATAGGTCAAACCTCTCTGAAATCCTGTGTGAGAACATCTAGAATTTCCTTTGAGAATGAAAGCCATGATCTCATTGGCAGCTGAGAGCAACGTAACGGGAAGAGGACAGCTGAACGCATCTGAAGAGTCTGTTCTCAGGTCATCGCCCACTCAGAACTTGCTCCCAGGTGCTCCCACCCCGCCCCCCAGGCACCTTCTCTCCTCCTCGTTGTGAAGCAGTTTCTCTGTTACTGGAAGCAAGTCTGAGTCCCTTCCTGCTGCCACTTCTCAAATCTGGTTTCTTCCTTGCTTAGTCTGCTCACCGACGGCCCCGACCGGCTTCCGAGTGGCTGCGGGCAGAGTCAAAACGAAAAGAGCCCACGCAGGAAGGGCAAAAGCAAAATCAGGGCTTCTGTGCAGCAACGGACACCAGCAGCAGAGTGAAGAGGGAACTCACAGAACAGGAGAGACTGTGCAAACCACGGCTGCTAAGGGGTCAACATCCAGACACACAGAGACCACAGCGCAGCAAGGAGCCAAGGAATTACATTTAAAAATGGGCAGAGTGGATTTCTCTGGTGGCGCAGTGGTTGAGAATCCGCCTGCCACTGCAGGGGACACAGGTTTGAGCCCTGGTCTGGGAAGATCCCACATGCCGCGGAGCAGCTAAGCCCATGCGCCACAACTACTGAGCCTGTGCTCTAGCGCCTGTGAGCCACAACTACTGAGCCCACATACCACACCTACTGAAGCCCGCGTACCTAGAGCTTGTGCTCCACAACAAGAGAAGCCCACGCACTGCAACGAAGACCCAACACAGCCATAAATAAATAAATTTTTAAAAAAGAAAAAGAAAAATGGGCAGAGGGACTTCGCTGGCGGTCCAGTGCTTCAAACTCCACGCTTCTAAAGCAGGGGGCACAGGTTTGATCCCTGGTCAGGGAGCTAAGGTCCCACATGCCGTGCAGTGTGGCCAAAATGTTTTAAAAAAAGTTTTAAATGGGCAGAGGGCCTGAGTAGACCCTATCCAAAAAAGACATACAGGTAGCCAACAGGTACACGAAAAGATGCTCAGTATCACTCGTCATCAGGGAAATGTAAGTCAAAACCACAATGAGCTATCGCCTCACACCTGGCAGAATGGCCATCATCAGAAAGACCACAAATAACAAATGTTGGTGAGGATGTGGAGAAAAGGGAACCCTATTCATACATTGTTGGTGGGAATGTAAATTGGTGCAGGCACTGTGAAAAACAGTATGGAGGTCCTCAAAAGACTAAAAATAGAACTACCATAAGATCCAGCAATTCCACTACTGGGCACTTATCCAAAGGAAATGAAATCAGGGTCTCTAAGAGACCCCAGCCCGTCCACGTTCATTGCAGCATCACAATAGCCAAGGCATGGAAACAACCTGAATGCCCATGCAGATGCATGGATAAACAAGGTATGGTCCATCCATGCAGCGGGATTTTATCCAGCCTCGAAAAGGAAGGTCCTGATACCTGCTACCACGTGGATGAACCTGGAGGACATTATGCTTGGTAATTTGTCACAAAAGGACAAAAACTGTCTGATTCCACATATGTGAGGCCCCTGGAGGAGTCAGATTCATAGAGACAGAAGCGGGGTGCTGGGGACAGAGTTGGGTTTGGGAAGATGAGAAGGTTCTGGAGATCTGATGCCCAACATGTGAACATAGCTTACACCACCCAGCCACACACCTGGAGTGGCTAGGATGTAAATTATTGGGTGGGCCAAGAGGTTCGTCGTTTTCTCCGTAAGATGGCTCTAGTAGCACTTAATTGTCTTTAACTTCATTCAAAACAATTTTGTTCAACAGAGTTTTGGAAGTCCTAGCCACAGCAATTAGAGAAGAGAAAGAAAGAAAAGGAATACAAATTGGAAAAGAAGTAAAACTGTCACTGTTTGCAGATGACATGATACTATACATAGAGAATCCTAAAGATGCCACCAGAAAAGTACTAGAACTAATCAATGAATTTGGTAAGGTTGCAGGATACAAAATTAATGCACAGAAATCTCTGGCATTCCTATACACTAACAATGAAAAATAAGAAAGAGAAATTAAGGAAACAATCCCATTTACCATCGCAACAAAAAG